TGAGCAGTTGACGGCTGTGATGACTCCGATACGTTCCAGCCGATCGAGTTCTTGATCAACGGTTATCATGACTGCATATGGTACCGGTCTTTTAGCCTTGAACATTGGTTTAGCATCTGCTCGCAAGCTCAGCGTTGCCTTGAATTTCGTACAATGGCCCAAGCCATCCTGAAAGACAGAGGCAAATTTTTGCTTCAGGGTACGTGTCATGTCTTCGACGGACTTTGATGATACGTCTGGACTTTCTCGAACTCGGTTGCAGATCTGATTCAAGGGAACATCGAGGAGATTTAACTTTTCAATCCAATCGAGTGCCAGAAGATTCAAATTCGGCCGGTCTGAAATGTAGCATGTTCCCGACTTTTTCACGCGTTGGAAAGCAGTCTTGCGATTAAGTTTGCCCACTAAGTTTAACACACCGCCGGATGCATTATGTGCAACTTTCTGAGACTCGACCATCTTCGGCCTCTTTATGTGATTCCATGTGCTCCTAGAAATAATTGTGATGTCCGAGGTCGTGTCAAATTACAGTTTCGTTGGGATCCCATGCATCAACACGGTGATGAATCGTCGTCTCGGTTTACACTCACTTTGGAATGCGGCAAATATGGACAGAGACTCTGCGCCATCCTTCCTAGGATTCCTCTTTCGAGAAGACTTCATTTTCTTCGATCGGAACTGGCTGCAGCATTCCTCTTTATGACAACGCTTATGGCACGTTTGACAAATATGTTGTTTGAAGAGACAAAAGCGCGCAAAATGCCATTCCCCGAATGACCGGCATGCTGTGGGCGGTATGTTTGTAGACCTCTTGAAGGGTTTGCTTCGGTTGACGGTCCTGACCTTTTTCACGAACTGTACTGTAGCTGGTGGTGCGATACCATTTCATTCGATCATGGCAGTGTCGTGCATTATAGTAAGCAGCCGTTTGCCTTTGATTACGATGGCCATCAGTGTCCGATCAGGATCCTGATCCAGCTTAGCTAAAAGCCGCGTGCGGATGTCACCATCACTAGGGCATTGTAGAGCGCTGACGGAAATCATCGTCCGTTAAAGGTCGTACTTTGAAGCGTTCACACGGTTAATCATATCTGCTAGGGCCCCAAAGTCGTCCGATTTCTGTTTGACAATTTTCAGGCATTGATAGCGAATACTAAAGAAGGATACCGATTCACTAAAAATTTCTTTCAGCTGCGACACTACTTCGTCAAACGTTAGATCCTTCGGCTGTTTGAACAGAATATAGTCTATGAATATTGAATGTTCTCTTATTCCGAGCTTGCGGAGTGGCGATCGCCCCTTCCAGGAGTCGTCCTGACGAATGTAGGCCGTACGAAACATGTCTTCCCATCATTTGAACCACGCTTCGAATGTGCATCCGGAATTCGCGTCATAATTTAATTTAGTGATTGCATTCGTGAGAAGATCAACAGAACTCGCCTGCATGTCCCGCGTCGCTGCTCCTGTTTGTCTGCAAACTCAAGCATTGTGTTAGATTTTCGACCATTCTCATTTGTGCCTCCATTTGAGTTTGAGGTTGGAAAAGCAGCTTTTGCAATTGTTCAGCAGAATAATTCATCACATTTCCCATTTTCTCCGTCGCCATTTGTTATAATCTTCTCACTAGACGCAATTCCAAAAATAACAATTTTCTGCTCCAGAAAACTTCTAGCCCAACCGAAGGAAAAAACAGAACACCAATGACCTTGATAAAATAATATATTAATCGCCGCCAAACAAACACGGTACAATTGCTGTGGACCTAGGTTGTATTTATAGGTCTCCTACTGACTTTCAACTTCTAGAATTGGAAGGTCAGCCATCAAGGTTAGTGGTTCTTCATATCTTTTGCCGAGGTGTCAGGTGGTTTTTAGTCACGTGCAGAACTAGCACATTCCGGAACGTTCGAAATCGATGCGATAATCGTTAGTAATCGGTCGATCGCTAAAATAGCGGATTTTGTAGGCAATTCTTACTTTCTCCTGGACACTTGCCATAAGCCCTAACTCTGCCCGCGGTCAGACCATACAGAGCACACAGTATGGAGTCGAACTTCTTAGGAATGCTATTCCTAAGCAGGCTGTGCCACAGTGTCGTCCGATTGACAGGATTGAAGGCTGCACGGATCTCCAACAACACAGCAATCATTGGCCTCTGATACACATGGCGGAACTTGAGGATCTGGTGGTGTGAACATTTGATCGATGCAGCCACGACCAGGACGAAACCCAACTTGTTCTTCTCGCTGCCATGGTTCGCGAGTTAGGCATCGTCTGCGAAATATGATGGACACCAATAGCTTGCAAACGACGGGAGCTAAGCTTATGCCTCTTTATTTGGGGCTGATTGTGCGCAGACCTAAGATGACGGAACTTCCTCTCTCGACCAAACTTTCGAGAACAAAGCAGTGAGTTCTCGAACCAACGAACCGCCATCATCCTTAAATGGAGCTGGAGGAAGACCAACATGGTCGGGAGCTTTATGACGCTTCATCTGATAGAGCTCCTGCTCTGTTTCCTAGTAAGAAGGAGCATCTGTGGGAGTAGGCTACTCGGCACCAGTACGAGCGCCAGAGGTAGCAGATGGAGCTGGAAGCCAACAAAACTGCAAGCCAAAATATTCGTCCCATCGTTCCAACCGTCGCTGATTATTGATGATTATGGTGTCATCCTCCTCACATATTGTTTCACTTATACCAGATCTAACACCTTCGGCGACTTGAATGCGATGGAGAGGTTTTCTGGTATTACCAGAAACTAGCAAGCTCCATCTCCCTAGCACGTTCACACCACCATGCTTCGCGGTCCATTTGCAGACTTCTGCACAACTCTCGAGCAAGGGATTGGCGTTCTTCTCTTTGGCTGGAATTCGACGGGATCAAGCAATGTTTGCCCATCAGCGACAAAGAGATGACAGAAATCCAATGCTTCGGTGGCTGACGCGCAACTCCACTAGTGTCCATACTAGCATCTACGATCTGCGCCCACTGTGAATCGAGGTCACCGTCAATAGTGTGGACAGTGAGGCTTGGTACCTGGCTAAAATCGCAGCTTTTTGTAGATTTGTGACGTCCGGTCGGTCGTGAGCGAGCTTGGGTGATCCTCCGAAACGTATGCAAATCAACACGAAACAATGCGCGAGATCGTATTACTTGACCAGTACGATTGGCAGTCCGTTACGCTTCTGCGCCACCTGTAACTGATTACTATGTGGTCAAGCTGGGTTTGCGTTTGTGAGGGTGGGCGCTAGGTAGCAGTGTCTTCTCATGTGCCAAAAATTAGATATCAAAACAAACAAGCGATGATCAGAGCAAAGATCGAGCAGTCTGTCTCCATTGTGTGTCAGGGTTATTCCGTTTCTCATTTTCTTCAAGCTTCTTGCATCCAAGGATATGAACCGACCGTTCGATGCTTTTCCAAAATCGTGGTCAGACCGTCTAACTTGTGAGCTGCCGGGACATATCACTTTATTCTCATCAAAAATCTACCTGCTCATTAGTCATCGCGGTGTTCCACAGTTGAGTGTCACTATCCATACTTTAAGGTTCTACTCAATAGACTACTGGTTAATCCTGATTACACGGATGACATTTTGCGTTTTGGTGGTTACCAGGTTGCGCGTTCTACCTCGGATGAACACTGGATTATTCCAACCGCTTGGCACCCAGTCCAGGATCCTGCCTCAGGATTGCTAGCCGCACAAATGTCCTTTGACTAGAGACGATAGAATTGGGGATACCTAACTAATTCAAATAACTTAGTGGCTGTGCTAAGCGCAATGCGCATGTAGATGGTGATGTTAGTTCATTTACTGCGAAGCTTAATCGGCTTTCGTGAATCCACTCGATGAAGGGGATTCGCATACTCTTAATCGTCAAATTCGCAGAACCACAACGTGAGCTATTCTTCTCTACATCATCAGACTACCCATCGGTCTGAGAATCTGAGGCTCCTTCACATACGTGGCACCGACGTGTCCGAAACAGTAATGTGCGGAGGTGACTACTTGGCGGTAGTGATCAACTTCTTTGGCCAAATCAGCTATTCTTTGTTTTGGACAAGTGTTACGTATGTACGTCCACGGCTTACTGAGGAGGTTCTCGTTTTGTTTGCCCGAGCTGGAATTACATGTGATTCACTAGAAGTAATCGTTTACATGACTGAATTATTGAAGCGTAAGCTGTCTTCTCCTTGATAGACCAACGGTTTAAGTTGTTTTCGTTTTTTAGTTATTTATCGTTTAGTTGCAATACAAGGCGATGAAAGCAGCAAGGAATCTGTTCCATTTCTGCCTGGGTTTTTCTCTTAATCACGTTAGCCAGCAGTCCTTGACCCGTGGCCTTGACATTTCAACAAGCATTTTGGCCTGTGTGTGTTTTTTTGATGCATCTAGGTTTTACATCAGGTCCCTCTTCTCCACCAGCAGTGCCATTGTGGTTGTGCGGCATGGATACATCAACTTGCTGTTGTACCTCTCTGGATGAATGGTTCATGTTTGTTACCTCGAAGTTGACCTCAGTTACCTCGATGCGTCGGACCGTTTTTGAAGTGAAGCCAAGTGTTTGTTGATAAGTATCGATTATTATTACTTCATTGTCATAACCTCACTGTTGTCTGTTTGTCATGGTCAACTCTTCTGCATCTACCTGCACTCTAAGGGGACATAACTTCGAGCCTGGTGCATCAATGATGATTTGGCGCTGACTGTTTTGTGCTCTGATCTGTACACTCGACCAGTACTGCACAGTGTAATCAATCAATACGTCCGTGTTTTGTACATCACATAATTCGCTGACTGACGGATATCAATCACTAGTCTTAACGCCTTGCACCCTGTGATAGCATTTACACGGTGTTTGTGATGACGACCTCGTCTTTCAAAGAAGTACCACTCGTTGTTTCTTGATAGACACTTTTCCTACCACACCTTGTGTTCGGTTACTCGATTTTTGCCCTCAGCAATTCATCTACGTTTGCTTCTAACTCCCTTTTCCAACTTAGGGATAAATGGAACGATATCACATTGCTTCTTGTCGGGTTCGGTCAACAACAGTGTCTTCCGGTATCTCCACGATGTCACAGCTGCTTGAACAGAATGATTTGTCCGACGGGAAGAAAGTATAAATTAGCAAAAAAATGATCTATTTCTCTTACCCGTGTCCCCAATTTCATCCCAGAGTATAAAACTTTTTCTGACTTTCACTATTTTTGTACTCTCTCACTTATTCATCTATAAACTTGGTACTTTTGTTTGCGACTTTTTCACACTTGCTTCCTTACTGGATGCCACCGAGTTGCCTTCACTTAATGCATTAGTCACGTGATCCGTTTTCCATTCCAAACGCACTATGGTCATCACGACAAGCTTACTACCAAACAACTATCATTTGTCACCCATCGCGTGAAAGTTTAACGAATACTGGCCGTTGTTGTAAAAGCCCTTATTGCATTTCGAGCAATTTTCGTGATGTTCCGTTCTGAATTCAACTTCTGCGGACTGAGACATTCTCCGTTTGATTTTGTCTGCTGAAATTTGATGGCCAACTTATCTCTCGAAGCCAGTGTGCATGGTACCATTACAACTCGGTGATGCAGTCGATCACAGTATCTGCGGCACTTATCCCACCTAGCAATGTATCATTGTTGAGCAAACCTCCCTGGAAGGACCACAAAGCAAGTGTTCTGATGCGATCCTACGTAACCTTGACATAACCAGTTGCCTCACTTGACAACTAGCGAGTTTGCAGCTTCTCTACTGGTCCATATAATTTGATGACTCGTCATAACACGCTTTTAGAGCGCGACTTTCTCATCTTGGCGTATTGGAAAAGATCCCGGAACCTCGCTCTTATGCAGAGCTCAATATTTTATGGATGCATCTGATGTCCCTAGACTTCTCGCTCTTTTTTGCCACGCATCTACTTTAGACCAATCAGGAACATGGGACTGCGCAGATGTTTTGGATAGCGGTGATCTCATTGACCCCAGTATTTTGAATTGAGCGCTGAGTACATCACCATAATTCATGTAAATAAACAAATGGGCTATTTAATTTGTTATCCTCATCCTACTCACTTTGTTTGGGCTGTCATATGCCTGCCTTTACGACGAGTGGAATCACAGATGAACTAGGGAGGTTCTCGTTGCCACAAGCCCTCATCAACGCACTCCGCCACCGTCTCCTTCTCTGGCTGAACTCTTCGGGTGTAGGCAGCTCGATATGCGATTTCTTGATTTTACGGTAAACATCACTGTAAACTCGCCGAGCTGAGCAATTCGATTGCTCGACTCTAACTACCAATATTTTGCCTTATGAAAACGACTACAAATGGGGTTGTGCAGGGAACGTGTGCTGCAGTCGTTGGGATCACCTTTTTGAATGTTGGAGTATTCGATGTGTTTTTGAGCTGCCAAGTGCAATCTGGGGTGGGACAACGACCATTTACCACAATTTAGCCTCTTTAGATCACTGCGACTTTATCTGAAGTAAACTTATGGTACCAGTTGTTTGTCGCCAATTCTACCCTTCACTACCGGTTTCGTCAATATTGGGACTTGCGTTGAGAAAACTGATTGGTTGTTAGTTGAACCCGGTATCAACTGACTACCGGTCGCTATCGCATTATGCTGCTAGGCTCCATCATTAACGTTTACCCCCGCGGATATGTACTTACCTTTGGGTACTCGCTAGATCGCTCATCGTGCCCCATTGGAGCCAACGGCGAACATTCGGATAGCGTGTGATTTTTGTAATTCTGTTTCACCGGGGGTTCGTTACGACTGTTTTACCATCCGTATTGGGTCACGTTCCAACTGTGTATGTTAAGAAACATAAAAGCGTAATTATACGGACTAGTACAGCAGGTGGGACTTGAACGAAAGTTCACCTTCCTCGTTGCTAAAGCATCATCACAGCCGGTCTGTCAATTTAGTGTAGCGGTTAAGAGGCTTGCAGTCTCGATGTCCAAGTCGTCCCAGTGCTCACTCCCATACTTGTTTGCGTAACCTATCCATGCCAACCACAGCAGCGAAGCATCGATAAATAACACTGATGTACCGCTGCTACCTTGTAGGGTTTGCTGCCACATTTTGTCTAGTGTAGCCTTGTCCAAGCGTGTTGGTTCGCAGACCTCCCATGCATCCATAATTTGAGAAAGTATGGTTCATTGGATTCAGTCGTATCAAAGTGGCCTGCCGACATACGCTCCCTATTACAACTCAACGTTGGCTGCGGTACGACACACCACCGTTGCCGCCTTCGATGTCACTAAGGAATTTTTCTCTTATTTGGTAGGTTATTCGAACATCGGGAATACTTACCTTGGGAGTCTAGCAGTGAATTTTTCGCACTCAAGTTGGTTGTAGATATTTCGTTCATAGTCGTGGTGTGGACAATAGGTTTGTATTTCTCACTTTTTACTGGATTACTGCGATTGCACTTCGTGTCCCAGGAGAGCCAAATCCTCACTCAGCCCTGCTTCCTCGGGTGAACCGGACGATTTGGATTAGATGCGCATACTTCCTTACATCACCCGAGTCGGCCTGCAGAAGAAGAGTAATGATCAGGGAAATGACGAACTTATGCTAATGAACAAACCGTCACTTCATTCGCTCACAGAGAGTGATCACTTGACCGATCGGCTAACAGCACTGCGTAATTAACATGAACTTCCGTGTCATCTAGCTACCAAGGATGTGATTCCAGACCAACTAAGGTGTCCCATAACTCAAAGAAAAGTGGCTTAAATTCTAGTGCGGCTCCCGTTTGAACTTCGGCTAAGGAAAGCAAAGGCACTGCCAAGATTGACCAGTAATCCGCCGGAATAGAAAATCCAATAGATTCTCCTTTCTACAGCTCTGCGGAGAAACTTGCATATGAACGCTGTTAACATCCGATGAGGCATGATAGGATGTGATCATCAAGACCATGTGCACTTTTTGCATCTAGGTAACCTGATCCTAAGCCAGGGACTAAATTTCACTAAGGTCGCTGATGGACCAGGCAGTGGGAAATAGTACTCTTGTCGATGACGAGGCGCTGCTAGTCTGTCTCCCGTTCTACGCTGGAATCGACGCGATGTGCCCCCATCCTGGCTCAAGACCCTACAAAGCGTTACTTATGGCCTTTCGGCGTCGCGTATTTGGTGCAGGAAGAGCGTGTGAATCGTTCAACACCGTTATATCACACATCAGGCTCGGAGGGCTGGGCCACGTGTTGCGCATGTCATCCCATCTGTGATGGTAAGATACTATACTTGGATGCCCGTCGCTTAGCGATCGGTCGAACTTAAGGATTTTGGGCCAACCGTCTGAAAGCTGGTCGATTGTTGCAGTGGTAAACTAGAGGCTAGCGTGCAATTGATTTGGATCGATATTGAACGAAGCTCGAACGCTGGCCAAGAATGTAATAGGTAGGTGATTTGTTCTACAAATGTGAGCGATTCTAATTGACTCGAGATATGAAATGCGTTTGCGTTCTATGAATAATGAATTTCTGCTCGGGGCCCAGACTGACATTTTGATACACGGAGAGCTACTTGACACCACCGACTCCGCAACCGGAGTGTAGATGGAAGAAGAGAAGGGGAGGCCAAGCGATGACTTGATCAAGAGGAATGAGAACTCTTATTTTCAACTAGGTGTCTTCCGACTGGACTCCGAAACACTATAAACACGTTTGGTTAGACACACTTGCTAACATGGTGAAGAGCCGACCCCAGTGGCATTTGTGTTGTGAGTTACTTTGTCCATCCCCACTTTTTAGATTCACCCTCCAATTACGATTTCATGCGAAATGCATAATATCATATTTAGCATTTTATTACTTGCTTTTTGAATTCTTTGTACTGTAATTTTCGTTATTTTTCATTGCGGCACATTACCTGAGGTGTGTTTCACACTCTCAGCTAAGTTGCATTACTGATGCTTATGGCCGTTGCTAATATTACGTTTAGTATACTTTTGCTCGAACGCCCCTTGGCAGATTGCATGGTGTTGAGATGTCTATTGGGGCTAAAAATGCTTGTGACGTGAGACAGTGAGCACTCCGAGAAGGTTATTTTTCATTGTCTCTTATTTTCGCAATATTCAACTGTCAGTGACAGTGAGTTGTCGGTAGGCTACAGATCCGTTTTTCCCCGATGTTTGCTCTGACCATTTGGGGCCTTCTCCTCCCCCCTCCTGGCATTCCATATTAGAGGTTGTTTATTGTTGCATGGTTTTCATGCAACAGTATAGGGTATCGCTGTAGCTTAGCTGATAACGATGGGGTGTGTCTATCGTTCTCCTTCTCACGTACTTCAACAGATTTCAGGTGCATACGGTTGAGTTTATCAAATAACTAAGGTAGGGTTGACCTTGAGTGTCAAAACATTACGAGACAGGTGCTGAACTGCGGCAACGAAAATTACCACAGATAAGAGAAACTGAAAATTAATAATAATAATAATAATGAGAACCCCGTGTAAATGTGTAACTACCGAGCATTAGAGTGCACACGAACGAGTACTAAACACGCGTCTTGTGTCGGGTCATCTGCGAATCCCCCCGGTGCCACAATCCGTCACAATTTGATTGAGCCTTAACGTGGTGCGACCGTTTTGTACACATCATCGAGTTGCTTCCGGGATTTTGAGTACTACACCTGCCAAGCTGCTCATTGGTTAGATCCTACGAACTCAGTGCCCTGGTCCTCCAAGTTGGGGATTGGAAAAAGGATGGTGTCCATTTCTGTAAAACCGTCATTGCCACCATCCCGCTGCATTGCGGACAGGCTTTTGTGCCGAAGGCTTTGACTGAGCACTCTGATTGTCCTCTTGTCTAGGTCTGGGCGCCTTGGCAGTATCTCAGCCAACATACAACCATGATTATTTCTTCGAAATTCAATCACATCCTGCACTAGTCGTCAAGCAGTCGAGCAAGAGCCACCTTATCTGCCCCATACAGCAGAGTGGATAAGCGAAAACGTGCTACTGCTGGTTCCTCCCTTCCTTTATACCCGTTTCTCTTGGTTGGCGGCATCCAGTTTCGGATTTGCCTGTCACTGTGACCAGCCACAGGATGCCTGCGCATACAGAGAGACTATGGGTGGCTTGCGCTGCACCACCCACAGCTCCATCCACACACCCCATCTCCAGTGTAGACCCGAAGGAGTAACATCGGGAGGCATGTGGTTTTGGGGCCAGGTTTCATCAACGGAACTGGCTCACACTCCTTCACAAGCAAACAGAAGCACGCTGTACTCGGGGGGAAACAGGTGCACCCAAG